ATGTCTATCATGTCTGTCTTCATGTCTATCATGTCTGTCCATCTAATGTCTATCATGTCTATCATGTCTTTCTTGTCTATCTTGTATGTCTCTCTCATGTTTATCATGTCTATCATGTCTGTCTTCATGTCTATCATGTTTGTCTATCTAATGTCTATCATGTCTATCTTTCTTGTCTATCATGTATGTCTCTCATGTTTATCTATCATGCCTATCACGTCTGTCTTCATGTCTATCATGTCTGTCCGTCTATCTATCTAATGTCTATCATGTCTATCTTTCATGTCTATCATCTCATGTCTATTTATCATGTCTATCATGTCTGTCTATCTTTCAGATCCATCATGTCTATCTATATCTATCGTGTCTATCGTGTCTATCATCTCTTTTTCTCTCTCTCTCTCTCTCTCTCATCAGATTTGTGTGCCGTTCATGTCGGTAAAACATTAAAAAATGACCATAGAATAAATCGCCACAAGTAAGCAACAGTGTCCCTTTAAAGCGGAACGCCATGGCTTCCCACCTTGTTGCTTGGGGGAGGGCGAGGGGGGGTGGACTTTCGTTAAGGCGGACTGCTGCAGCCAAGGGGAGCGGGACCATAGAGTTGGGGGCAAGAGTGGAAGAGGAGCATCTGGCTTCCGGTGCCGGGAAAAAAGAGGGAATGAAGCCGCCAGGGACCTCTCCGGAAGTAGGGCACAGCTGCCAACTCGCCATGCGACTATTGCTCCTGGCTCCCGGCCGAGCCCAGACTGGCAACGGGACCACCGCCCGGAGGATCCAGTAAGTGGCCCCCCCTCCATGCCCGGCTTTGCAAACCCACCAGGCCGGTGCAAACTCTGCAGCGCTGTTAAGACGTGGGTGGGCAGGCGGGAATTCGTCCGGTGCAGCCGGGCAAGGCTGCAAAGCGTGCGGGGTGGGTGTGAGAGCCAGTGGCCGGAGGGGATGCTCGGGACGCCCCTCCTGGATTGGAAAGGGAAGCCCGTGTGGGCTTCACACGACCCGTCAAACCCGGGTCAAGGAGGCTTCAGCAGCTGGGCTGCACCTGTTGAATGATTACCCGGGTTTTAAACTCTTCTGGTTCAATCTATAATGGGGATGAATCAGAAACCGGGTGGTGAGAATGTAACTTTTTTGTGTTTGTTTTGTATTCTGGCTGCTTATTTCGTGTCCTCGGTGGTTGTTTTGTCTTCTGGATACTTTGTATTTTCTGTAATATGTATATATCTATATCTATTTCTTTCTTTCTTTCTTTCTTTCTTTCTTTCTTTCTTTCTTTCTTTCTTTCTTTCTTTTTTGTTTTTTTGGGAGGAAAATAAGGGGGGGAAATTCTGCCTCTGCCTACCAACATCCATCGGTATTCATCTGGCTAGCGTCCTGTCAGTGTGTGAGAGAGTTGAGGGCTGTTTGGAAACTGAAATAGTATTTGTGTGAGCAAGGAGACAGCAAGGAGGCTGGGCATGGCTTAGATCAACTATATCACCAGCCTTGAGATTTTGGGCTTGGACAACCTTGAACTATGTTGCCTAGGGTTAGACTTAAGCGTAGCACACAAAATTATCTGCTACAATATCCTACCAGTCAATGACTACTTCAGCTTCAACCACAACAATACAAGAGCACACAACAGATACAAACTCAAGGTAAACCGCTTCAAACTCGATTGCAGAAAGTACAACTTCAGCAACAGAGTGGTCAATGCCTGGAATGTACTCCCTAATCCCAACTCCTTTAACCTCAAACTAACCATTGTTGACCTCACCCCATTCCTAAGAGGTCTGTAAGGGTCATGCATAAGCGTACCATTATGCCTTCCATCCCTGTCCTATTGTCTCCATTTATTTGTGCCTATTTCCTGTATTCTTACTCATGTTTATACATACCTATTGTAAGTGATTGACAAATCAAATAAATAAAATAAATAAATAACTGTTCTGTACTAAAGCTGCTTCGTGCTCTGAAACTCCTCTGCTTGTGTTTTGCATTTGGAAGAGATTTCTTTTCAGGTGGGGAGGGGGAGTAGAACTCCTTAGCATCAGAGCGTGTTAATAATATAGGAAATACTCATGCTCTGATGGTCATTTTTAAAAAATCCTTTCTTAGCGAGCACCTAGAAGCCAAGAGGAACATACATGCCAAATTTCAAGTTTGTAGGCTTTACGGTTCTGGAGATTTTGTGATGATGCGTGAGTGGTATTTCGCTTTTATATATATAGATTTCAACACGGATGTCAAACAATGTGTATTTGTCTGTGCGTAACACACCCATCTTATAGGAAGCGTTTGGATCTTAGCTCCGCCCAGTGTGTTGATTCTATGCACAATGTGCAAACATGGCTTTCTCTCCAACGCCAGAGTTCAAAAACATTTGAACTTTCTTGAAGAGCACGTCTGGGCATGGAATTAGATAGCTAAGAAAACAAGTCAACGGATTATCGGGTAAATTCTCTTCCCACACAGCTTCTTGAAAGTCCAGCTTTTACTTCCATAGAGTATCACAAGGAATATCGAGAATGGGTTTTTGATATTCCTAATAGGAAAAAGTTAGATCAACAGAGTTGGAAGGGACTTTGTAGGTCATCTAGTCCAACCCGAGCAGGAGACCCTACACCATTTCTGACAGAGGGCAGTCCAGTCTCTTCTTAAAAGCCTCCAGTGATGAAGCTCCCACAACTTCCGAAGGCAACTTCTCTTCCATGGGTTGATTGTTCTCCCTGTCAGAAAATTCCTCCTTATTTCCAGGTTAAATCTCTCCTTTTTCAGTTTCCATCCAATATTTCTTGTCTGGCCATTGGGTGCTTTGGAAAATAGCTTGACCCCTTCCTTCTCTCTGGGGCAGCCCCTCAAATATTGGAAGACTGCTATCCTGTCTCTCCTGGTCCTTCTCTTCACTAGACTAGCCAGGCCCAGTTCCTGTAACCGTCCATTGTATGTTTTAGTCTCCAGGCCTTTGATTATCTTAGATACATTCAGATTAACAGAGTTGGAAGGGACCTTGTCGGTCATCTAGTCCAACCCCCCGTCCAAGCAGGAGACCCTACAAGTCAAGGGATTATCAGGCAAATTCTCTTCCCATGCAGCTTCTTGAAAGTCCAGCTTTTACTTCCATAGAGTATCACAAGGAATATCATGGCTTATGTGAGAATGGGTTTTTGATATTCCTAATAGGAAAAAGTTAGATTAGATCAACAGAGTTGAAAGGGACTTTGTAGGTCATCTAGTCCAACCCGAGCAGCCTACACCATTTCTGACAGAGGGCTGTCCAGTCTCTTCTTGAAAGCTTCCAGGAATGAAGCTCCCACAACTTCCGAAGGCAACTTCTCTTCCATGGGTTGATTGTTCTCAGTGGCAGAAAATTCCTCCTTATTTCCAGGTTGAATCTCTCCTTGTTCAGTTTCCATCCATTGTTCCTTGTCTGGCCTTCAGGTGCCTTGGAAAATAGCTCGACCCCTCTCTGGGGCAGCCCCTCAAATACTGGAACTCTGCTCTCCTGTCTCCCCTGGTCCTTCTCTTCTCTAGACCAGCCATGCCCAGTTCCTGCAGCCGTTCATCGTACGTTTTAGTTCCATTGGTCAATTACAATCCATGCTGGAAGGAAAATGTTTGGTGCAATTTCTGGAAATCTCAAAGCCATCATTCTTTGTGTGTGTCTGTGTGTGTTCGTGCATGCGTGTGTATAGAGTATATGTGTGTGTGTGTGTGTGTGTCTGTCTGTCGGTCTGTCTGTCTATCTATATATAGGGAGGGAGGGAGGGAGGGAGGGAAAGAGAGATCTATATAACTAAATATATTTCCCTTTTGCTGCTAATATCTCTCCTGAGTCTCATTAGGAAATTAGTTTCAAGTCATTGGCAATTTGGAAGCCTATTCATCTGAACAAGAATGTAAATCATGGTTATTGGTACAATGGAAAGAAAAAAAAATTCTGATTCGTGTTATAGTGGAAATTTGTTCCCAATTTTGGTTGTAAGTGGAACGCTACCTGAAGTAGAACTTCATGGCCTTATTTCCCTCGCAGAAATTAATGCTAATATCCTGCTTTTTAAAACATTATTCCATCTGCTCCTGTTTTCCAAAGAGATCATTTACAAGCTGCTGGGCATTTGTGTATCTTGAAGGACACCTCTGATTATGAGTCCCCATTGGCAATTTCCAATCTCATCTCTTCAGAGAAATTGGAGGCAGCTCTGGGCATCCATCTCTTTAAAGCTGGAAGGCTCCTTCAAGGTAAGATAAGGGCTCTTGGTTTCAAAAGGGGAACCAGTGTTGTTTGTTTTTTGACAAAAGCCTAATAAATTGCTCTTCTAAAATGTGTGTGCAATAGCTTTGATAAGTCTGTTATAACTGGGCTGCAATAATATGCATAACCCCTAGGTGGAGGCAAAGACCTAGTTTTTCTGTATCTCTCTGCTACCCTCTACTGGTTATGTAGATGTTTTGCACTGTGGATTTGTTCTTGGGCCCCATTTTTTTTCTTTCTATGACTTGAAATCTCCATTTTAACATGAGAATAAGTCCAGGATTCAACAGAAGCCATCTGTTGATTTCTCCTCTCCAAAAGATGCTTTTCATTGGCATTTCAACATCAGTGACTTATTGCTTTCCTTGTCTGCCTGCATTTCCCCCCCTTCCTCAACGGTTGATGTCCAGAGATGCTGGAGCATCTGACCAACCTCTCCAGCAAAGCAGACACTGGAGAACAGCTGGTAAAATAGGTCATGGATTCCTCTGCCAGTTCTTGACAGTTTACCTGATTCCTTTTTAACAAGTGAACTCATTCTACCTAGAATTTAAAAGCAGCCTTGTTCCCTAATTAGCTGCCATCACAGCTCCTGTTTGTTAGCTTAATGGGGTGTAAAACTGCCCAGTTAATTGTTTTCTCCCCTCCCCTTCCACTCTTCTAATGGCTGTGGTTTTTTTTTAAAGGAGGTTTATAGTTTTTGTTAGCATCACTGCTTTTGAGCATCCCTGTTGACAGCAGAGGGATGCTTGGTTTGAAAAGACACAATGCAAATTGCTCTTCTTTGTAACCACAAGGCTGGCATGGTGGGAACAGGTTGGAGAAGATAAGTGGCTCCCATTTGGCCAAAGACAATCTGAGAGATGGCTGACCTCAGATTTCTGTTTGAAAAGAGCACTTAACACTGCTAAAAGCCTCTTTTCCTTCCCCCGCCTGCCCCAAAAGGAACACCAGGGCGCAGAGGGTTAATATGGGTGGTCCTCATATTTTGTGACAGCCTTGCTTAGTGACTGTTTGCAGCCACAATGGGGAGGAGAAACTAACTTGGCAATCTGTCCTTGCACTGATAACCTTTGTAGGTCTGTTAAACAAAGGAAAGAGGAAACAGGCTTGTGAGCCCAGCCTGTCAGGGCTCCAGCACTGACCCCCATTTAAATCATGAGTCTCAAGCCAAACTTCCAAAACTTAAAAAGGATTTATTGAGAGTTAACATGCTGGCACTGCCTGGGTGTAGCCAACTCTGAGACACATCATTCATTGTCACCTTTGACCCTGGTTTTTCCCTCCACCCCTCTGGGTGTATCCTAATTTATATTCTCCAATGGGACACATCCATAGCCAAGAGTCATCAATCATGCTCTCCAGTTAGATATTTGCCTGGCAGAAACTTCGGTCACCTAGTTACTATCTTTGAAGAAATATTTATGGAATGCACTTTCGGTTTTGCAAGCTGCTGCACTGCTCCCTTTCTGTTGGCAACTCTAAAAAAACCCAGAGAAATGTTTTATGAGTTGACACGGTCAATGTTTCACTCGGTGATTATTTTGCTTAATGACCTCAATGAATGATGGCTGTTAAACGAGGACGACGCGTGGAAGAAGAAAGCAAGCGGAGAGCCGTCCTTGCAAAAAATCAAAACCCAGAGGTGCAATGATAGAAAGCAGAGGTGCTCCTCATATTACGACTATACGTTGCGGCTGGAATTTTCACTGCTGATTTTATGACCTTTGGGGGGGGGGAGGTTGCTAAGCAAATCTGCAGTTGTTAAGTGAATCATGCGGTTCCTTCCATTGATCTGGGTTCCTTCCATTGATTTTTGCTTGTTGGAAGCCAGCTGGGAAGGTCACAAACGAAGAATTACATGAACCTCATTTGCAAGGGTCATAAATCCGTAGCGGTTGCGATTTTTAATTGTGCTTGCATGTCCATGGGGATGCTGCAATGGTTGTAAGTGTGAGGACCACTTGCCAGTCACTTTTTTATGTCATTGTGACTTGGAACAGTTGCTAAACAAATGGTTTTAAGTTGACTACCTGGATTTGCAAGCACCTTCCAATGGGGAGGGGGTGGACTTTGGAGTGCTTCAAAGCATTCCCTACTTCAAAGAGGAGATCAATCAATCGGAATAAAGTTGGAAGGGATCTTGGAGATCTTCTAGTCTAGCTCAAACAGGAGAACAGAACAGAATATAGAATAGAATAGAATAGGTAATAGAATAGAAAAGAAAAGAATAGAATAGAATAAGGAATAGAATTAGAATAGAATAAGGAATAGGATAGAATAAGGAATAGAATAGAATAGAATAAGGAATAGAATAGAATAGAATAGAATAGAATAGAATAAGGAATAGGATAGAATAAGGAATAGAATAGAATAGAATAGAATAGAATAAGGAATAGGATAGAATAAGGAATAGAATAGAATAGAATAAGGAATAGAATAAGGAATAGAATAGAATAGAATAGAATAGAATAGAATAGAATAAGGAATACAGTAGGAAAGAAATAGAACATAATCTGGAAGGGACCTTAGAGGGCTTCTAGTCCAGCCCCCTGCTCAAGCAGGAGATACCAACTCAGATAGGTGTCTGTCTAGTCTCTTCTTAAAAACATCCAGTGATGGAGCGCCCTCAATTTCTGGAGGCAAGTAGTTCCACTGGTTGATTGTCCTCACTGTTAAGAAGTTTCTCCTTAATTCCAAGTGACTTCTCTCCTTGATTTGTTTCCATCCATTTTTTCTTCCCTTCCCTTCAGGTGCCTATTTGGAGAATAGGTTGACTCCCTTTCCTTTGGGGCAGCCCCTCAAATCCTGGAAGACTGCCATCATGTCACCTCTAATCCTTCTTTTCATTAAGCTAGACATACCCATTTCCTGCAAACATTCTTCATGTGTTTTAGTCTCTTTGGAAAGGTGTCAGCCAACATTTATTCCCAGAGTTAAGTTCGGTGGGCCAAGTGGCACCGTCTGTGCCACTGGATTAACTATTGAAGAACTGTTGAAATTCTCCATGTTTTCAGGAAGTCCCGTTCCTTTTGGGATTATCTTTGGAGGCACAGATGTTAATGAAGATGTCAAAAATGAGGAGAAGGCCCAAATTATGGAGAAGGTGTTGGATGAAGCCAGGTAAAGAAATGTTCCTCTTACTCCTCCTCCTTATTATCCTATCATGAATCAATCCAAATCGATTTGGACCTTTATCCCAAAGTTGTTGGTGTTTTTTTTTCAAAAGGCCACTGGATTTTCTTGGGGTTTTCATTGAAAGCATTTTGCTCCGCGAGTTTCTTCAGTTCTTCGATGAGAAGCGAAACCAAGAAAGTCCAGTTGCCTTTTTGGAAAAGCACCTTTGGGGTTAACCATGACTGGGATGATTGAAAATCTCCATAGTTTGGACCAGAGGTCTCCAAACTTGGCAACTTTAAGACTTGTGGACTTCAACTCCCAGAATTCC